CAAATACTGTAACGTTATTTTGATCGCCAATCCCAAATATTATGGTGTAAAAGCACAATTTGAGCCACACTAAACCCTAGAAAAACTCTCCCCGCGAAGCCTACCAGGGATTTTTATGCCGGGACCATGATCGAAGCTTTAGTCTGCCCCTTGATTCTCAATGTCGTCCTGACTTTCCGCTGGCGGCCGGAATTTTATGTTGTTAACGTTTCACTTCTTTAAATTGAATTTAATCTTCTGCTGGCTTGTTCTTAGGTTGACAGCCCATGAGGGAAATAACGAGAACGCAACGGCATTCGAAGGTACTAAAGGTGTTAACAAACGGTCTACGAGGTAGGAGACCAGGATAAGACCCAGAAAAACCCAATAAGGGCGAAGTTATCCACGGTCTGATTGTTAGCTTGTGAGTGTTCAACATGTTGGCTGACATGCTATGTTTAAGTAAGTTAAGAGGAAAATCCTCATGACGTTTGATTCCACGCAACACTTTCCTCTCCTTCTCCTGGCGCCGCCACTTTGCCCGCCGGTTTTGGAACCATACCTTTAAAAGAAAACGTATACAGTGAAAAAAATACTCAAGAAATATAATGTAAGTGTTGGGTTTTAGAAGTGATGACAATTTATGAATTAATCTTCAATTTTTGATTTATGATTTTCGATATTAAAATTTCGAGTATTGATTTTAAATTTTCGATTTTTGAGTTTCGGAACATAAATCTTCAATCTTTGAGTTCCAAATTTAAAGTTTAAGTTCAAAATTTCAGTTTAAATTTTTAAATTTATTCCTAAGCTTTATTCAATGTTTTTAACTGAGACTAAATTTTTAAGGGTTTTCTTGTTTTTTCCTTCTGAGAATATACTTAATCAATGGACCATAATAATAATAATGTTACATTTATATAGCGCATATTGCACATTGCCCCTATGCGCTTTACAGAGAAATAATATAGGCCAACTGAGAAAAAGCAAATAACAATAAAATAATAACAAAAAATAAAATAAAAATAATCATAATAGCAATAATAACAATGAGACTAAACTACAGTACTCCTATTCCTTAAAATAATTAATGGTTGGCCGTTGATTCCGAGGAGCTCATCCGCCCTTCGTTCAGCTATTGGTTTTTCTTGCTGCTGGGTGACCATAAACACCCTCCCCTCAGCAGCCACTAAGACATATTTGAGAGGGTTGTCAGTTTAGTCGCCGACGCTTCGACTGGATGGAGTTTAATTTCGTACCCAAGACGCCCCTAACTACCTTAAGCTAGGCTTAACTACTCTTAAATACAGTATATTAATCTTAACTTAAATACAGTATATTACTCTTAACATAAAAACGATTTCTGGCAGGAAAAATATAAGAAAATAGTAATTATCTGCTAAATAACCACAATAAGACTGGTATTTGCCTAACCTGAACTCTAGCCACTTGCAGGTTGAGCCTTGTTGCTAATTCTTCCAAACTGTATACACTCGGGTAGCATGATTGTTTAAAAGCTCTCTCTAGTTCGTAGATTTGGAATCCCGTAAATGTCGTACGTGTCCGCCGTAGGGGTTTCTGTTGCTCATATTTTGCATTTCCATCTTTGTCTTTTGCATGTAAGTTGAGGTTGGACGTGACATTATCCAGTATATCCTTTGGATATTTGTGCAGCTTTGGTGGGGAATAATCACCTAGAAGTAACAAGAAAACAGAATACATACATAATAAGAAGCAGCCAAAACATATATAATCTATGTCAGATGATTTTGGTACATGTTTGCATGACAATTAGCAGGTTATCATTTGACAAACGAAATAATGAGGATCATTTGCGGAATTAGGTCTCATATAGTCAAAAGTAAAAGATGTTTATGATGATTTTCTTGGTGTATAGGCTTAAGTGAGCGCCCGATAAGCACACGCGTAATTATTATCTGATTAACATCCCTTTTGGGAAATTCAGAGTAAATACGTTTTATACGTATAAGCTGACAAAATATATGTTATATGTGAAAGTGGTTTGTATAATATAATATAATAAATATTTTCCAATACTAGGATTTAGTTCTGCAATATACTGTTTTATGTAACAATTTATTTGAATAAAATATACCTTGTATTATTACAATTATTATTATTATTATTATTATTATTATTATTATTATTATTACAATTATTATTATTATTTATTATATATATATTACTTTTTTTTCTGCAATAAAGTCAGTTGATATAATTATATTACATTCAGTTTATTTCTATATAGATGTAAAATATCTACAACTAAATGAAACAAATATAATGATAGATAACTTTGTATCAGGCCTACCTTTTTTGGTAGAACTGTTATCAGAACAACCAAAATATGTCTCTGTCTTGATGTCGTCTTGTCGCCGAGGAACACAAATTAATTTTGGAGGTGACGACAAGAGTTCTGTCGGAGTTCTTTCGTGAGATTTTAGTATACAATTGATAGAGTACGAAAGCGGAACCTGGGTTGACAAACATGTCTTAGAACTGTTCTTAGCTTCGTAGCAAACGGTAGTCATCTTGCTATCTGTATATTGAAAAAAAAAACTCGAAGAACTTCCCAATCTTTTACTTTACGACTAACTGGTGCCTTTGTTGCATAAAAGAAATGAATTACGTCTATTTATATACCCTCAGTTACTTATGTTTATAATTCACAGTCATCAGCTGTCAATCACTGTTAGTACCATTCCACCAAGTTATACAGAAAACGCACCAGCACACGTGTCAAGTGTCATTAGTTGATGAACTACTTTAACTTGTGAGAATATGGGTTAATGCTATTTGTGACACGCTCACTATTTTTATATTTATGATAATCTATTCACTGTTTTTTTTTCATTTAATATCCATAATAAAATTTATGAAAAATAAGATCCGAAACTCTACCTTAGATGGTAGGACCTATGAATGGTCAAAAGAAATATCCGGCCATTGTACTCTATGCCAAATTTTTGAGATTGAAGACATCAGACCCTATTTATATATTTGCAAATCGTTCGATGTATTATGTCCTTAGGGAGACAGAATTATCAAATTGAAAAAATAAATGATCTTGAACTCTGTGATGTTTGCTTAGTTTGTGCATAGGTTTGTGCTGCTGCTACGGCAGGGTGACGCACGACCGGAGGCCCAAGAGACATCGAGTCCATTTTCAGACGATTGGCTCGAAAGTACAGTATGGAAGATCGTGTCGGTCTAGGCACCTCTAAGCCTGCGCTAGGTTGGACCAGGAGGCCTCTTCAGTAGTCTGAGGTCTAGGCAAGGCATAGTCCTATACTGCTTCCAGCAACCCGCAGCAGTCTGTCTAGCAGTGGCTAGGCCCCCCACCCCCATCGGACAAATCAAGACCCCTTCACCCGGCCGAGCTCGTCGAGCAGTCGTACCAAAAAAAAAAAAATAAATATAGGCCTACACACCAAGCCAAACTATGTCTTTCACACTGCTAAGTGCTATTTCCGGCCAGCCAGAGCTCCCTATTTTTAGAAAAATCTCATCTCCCAAACCCTCCCCTCCTCAGGCATACAAGCTCAAGCCCTCTGTTGGACAGCTTAGGCCCCCAAGAAAATGTATCCCAGAGCAGCCACTGTCTAGGTAAGGCCTGTGCAGAATGTAGCCCTAGGCTACTAAAGAATAGGCCTAGTCCTAATTGTTATTTTATACATTACTTTATTCAATACAAATTGCAATACAGACATTGAAAAGTTAATATATTTAATTTAATTAAATATTTAAATTAATATTCTGTTCCGCTTCTCTTTTTGTGTAATATAGCCGGCAATTTTGTAAAACATTAAAAAGTAATAAATCTTAACTTCAGCATAACATTGTAATAGAAGTTGTAATTTTAATTTATTAGGCCAATTTTCTTTTCCAGTAAGATAATTTGTTCATGGGATTAGGTTGAAAATCTACACTACTAGTAGTATAGGCCATTTAATTGTTTTCATTTCTTTCTGTGATTATGGCCTAATCCCTACGGCTAAAATAAGACTTTGCTTATGTATTATTTCACTCTGTGTAGACCCCATAAATTGATAATGTTCCAGGGATCCTAATTTTGGAAATAAAATTACACAGGGACAACTTACTTTTTCTTACATTGGTTGTACCATGGAGTTGCTGTATTTTGCTATGCTGTGTGACAAAAGACAGGGCCTACTCTATGTCGAAGACGAACTATAACTGAAAGACTAACTATAGCTAAAATTATGCATGACGTCAACATACGAAGCCACACCCCTCGGCTGAACCCGTTGTATTTAGCAACTACCCACACGCCAGACAAGGATATTGATGCAGATTTGCTCCAATGGTGGCGCTACATATACATATTGTTAAATCATCTACTATTATTCTCAAAATATGGTAAACTTCTCCTTTAAAATGGGCTTATATCTTGTTTTAACCGTGTATCAGGTAGCATAGGCCTTGCCTACAGTACTAGGCTAAAGTAGCAATCGTTTATCGTCTACGCCTAGGAAATTATATTCCACCAAATTCAACTTTCTTAACAGGAAAAATCTCTAATAAAAAAACAGATTTATTTCAGAACATTTGTGAAAATATTATTATTTTTATACTATTTGTATTGGCAATCAATTCTATTCTATGCTGGTGCTCGTCATCGCCTGTTCAGAGCATCTGAACGAGTGTGTGCTTCTGTCTACGGGAATCACCAAGTGCTCATTTTAGTGTTTATTTATTTTTAGTAAATGAATTTTTAGTTAATGAATGCACAATCAAAGGTCATAAAATGTTTCAGATTCAATTTTTCTTTCCTTTTGTCACCTTTGCCAGACGCCTGTGGGCTGTTTAGTGCCCCAGCTGGGTCCAAAAATCTCGGACAAAGTAACATTTTAAGGTCGTATTTAATGGTTCTGAAAACAATAATTCGTGAAAATTCTATTTAAATTTCCATTTATTTAGCTTCGGAGGAAACAAATTGATATGTTGTACAACTTATTTTTTTAAAGACACAAACAGAATATTTGACGAAAAACTTCGTTTAATGAGATACAGATTTTTGAATATTTAAAAACCAGGGCGAAAGAGGGCGTAACCATCCAATTTTCCCAGGAGCATGGCTTTAAATAATAAAGCTGAATGACGTTTGCTCTTGTCAAACTAATTTTGAAACAAGCGTTATCTTTCCAATTATCATCTTAATATCAATATTCTCAAAAACCATTTTCCCTATTATATTTTTTTCTAATTAACTTGATGTCAATGTGTCACTAATGCTATTATTGTAAATACCGTATTTACTCGAATAAACGCCCCTGGAATACATCCCCCTCCAGAGCCTAGAATAAACGTATAAAACTTTTTCTCTAATAAACTCCCCCTAAATGAATGTAAAGAAAAAAATCGAAGCAACATAATTTTCAGCACACTCTATTAATATTCTACTCAAGTAGAATTTTTTCTAACCTGGTTGGGATCAATAAGTCTTTATGACCACAAAATAACACATTTTAATGAGTATTATGTGTTGGAGTTCCAAATTTACAATTTATAGTGCTTTTATTTGAGTATACGTACTGTATGCATTTTACACAGACAAAAATAAACACCTCCCTCGAATAAACGTCCCTCAAAAATCCTTCTCAACAATAAACGTTCCTAGGCATTTATTCTAATAAATACTGTGTTCTCTGGAATTTTGACTGATATATAGTGAAATATAACACAAATTTGCAGAAAATGGTACACAGATACACCTTCCAGCGGCCATACCGGCCAGGAAGTTGCTAAATACAACGGGTTCAGCCCAGGGGCGTGGCTTCGTATGTTGACGTCATGCATAATTTCAGCTATAGTTCGTCTTTAAGTTTTAGTTCGTCCTCGACACAGAGTGGGCCGGTGGGCAAAGCACAGCAACTCATTCCTCCATGGTACAACCAATGTAAGAAAAAATAAGTTGTCCCTGTGTGATTTTCTTTCCAAAATTAGGATTCCTGGAATATTATCAATTTATGGTGTCTACACAGAGTGAAATGATACATAGGTCTAGTTAGTCTTATGGTAGCTGTTGGGATTAGGCAGTAATCACAGAAAGAAATAAAAACAATTCAATGGCCTACTCTAGTACTAAAATACTGTACTTAGTCTGTGGATTTTCCAACCTCAATCCCATGAAAAAATTATCTTACTGGAAGAGAAAACGGGCCTAATACATTCCAATTACAACTTTTATTACAACATAACTGCTGAAGTTAAGATTTATTACTTTTTAATGTTTCACAAAATTGACGGCTATATTACACAAGAGAAGGGGAACGGAATGTTAAATACTTAATTCAATTAAATATTTTAACTTTCCAATGTCTGTATTTCAATTTGTATTGTATAAAAGTTATGTATTAAGTAACAATTATAGGTCTTTAGTGCAGATTTTTCAATAGCCTAGGGACAGATTCTGCACAGGCCTGAAGGCCTAGACAGTAGCGGCTCTGGATACATTTTCTGGGGGAGGGAGCTAAGCTGTCCGAGAAGGGGGGGGGGGGGTTGGGCCTGTATGCCTGAGGGGTTTTTTTATTATTTTTTTTAAAAAATAGGATGATTTTTAAAAAATAGGCAGTTCTGGATGGCCGGAAATGGCACTCTACGACTGTGAAAGACATGTTTTGGCTTGGTGTAGGCCTATATTTATGCTTTATTTTTTGGTCCGAATGCCTGCGCCCGACGAGCTCGACCGAGGGGCCCCTTGATTTGTCCGATGGGGGTGGGAGCTTAAGCCCCATTGTCCCCCGTCCCCCGCTGGCGCCGCCGCTGCTAGACAAACTGCTGCGGGTTGCTGGAAGCATAATCTAGGACAATGCTTTGGCTAGCCTCAGACTACTGAAGAGGCCTCCTGGTCCGACCTAGCGCTGACTTACAGGGACCAGACCTACACGATCGTCCATACTTTGGACCCAATCGTCTGGAAATGGACTCGATGTTTCATGGGCCGCCGATCGTCCGTCACCCGGCCGTAGCAGCAGCACAACAAACTATAGTACACATCAGCCCGCTCGCTAATGTCACATTGGACACTGTGTATGTGTGATGTTATATTTTCTCCACGGGTAGACGGTATATTCATGGGTGTATACAAGGGGGTCGGGAAGGTCGTACAACCCCACCCCCTCCCAATTTTTAAAGGTCCACATTTTTTCCAAAGACATTTTTTCTTGGGCCTTTTCACAACGACATAAATGAAAACAATTGATGAGGTACCAGCAATGAATCCAAACACCTTGCCAATTGCGTCACTCAATCTATCCCAAATATTTAAAGGTCCACATTTTTTCAAAAGAAATTTTTTCTAGGTCCTTTTCACAACGAAATAAATAAAAAAGCATTGAGTCCAAAGACCTTGCCAATTGCGTGACGTAATCTATCTCAATTCCAGCAATTCTGAAACTGAGCCTGCTATCCACTTCAAGCAAATTGTATTGACATTTTAATAATCACATCTCGCTGTTATTTCATTGTGAAAAGGTCCAAAAAATTACGATCACGACCCAACCAGAAAAAATGCTAGGCCTCTGGAAGTCCCCAGTGGTAGTTGCCATGTTCTCGGA